TGAGATGCCTAACACCTTCGGATGGGATAACTCCCAACTTTAGGATGAGGCGATCACGAAACCTTGGGTTGAGATGCCCAACACCTTCGGATGGGATAGCTCCCAACTTTAGGATGAGGCGATCACGAAACCTTGGGATGAGATGCCTAACACCTTCGGATGGGATAACTCCCAACTTTAGGATGAGGTGATCACGAAACCTTGGGATGAGATGCCCCACCTTGGCGATGTATGGTGCCACTGATTCAGTGGCAGCACGAGTTGAATCTTCCGTGATCATACGCTGAAGTTCTTCTTCGGTTATCTGAACCATTCGAGGAGCAAGTAGAAGTTGATCCTGTTGAGGACCCAGTTGGGCCTCACGAGGAGGAGCGTTGGCTTATGCTATGGCGATGTATGGTGCCACTGCTTCAGTGGCCCGAGTTGAAACTTCCGCGATCGTACACTGAAGGTCATCTTCGGTTATCTGAACCGTTCGAGGGGGGCGGAGGTAGGCCTCCAGGGAGTCGATAACCCTTGGCGAACGAAATATTTTGGGGGCACTGTAAACCCCCATGGAGTCGATAACCCTTGGCGAACGAAATATTTTGGGGGGAGAGGTAAGCCCCCAGGGAGTTGATAACCCTTGCTAGCGTTGAAGGGCCTCCTCGGTTGTCTGAACCGATCGAGGGGCGGGAAGAAGTGGATCATGTTGAGGATCTAGTGACATCACGAGGAGGGTCTCGTGGTGGATCCCGAGCATGGGGAGGAGGAACTGGCAAGCCAGAGCCTCCACGAGGTGGGAGGTTGTTAGCAGTGTCACACTCCCCTGAGCAGATGTCTCAAGGCCATCTTGCGCGCTACGTGATCTTGTTTGCCTTCCCACAGACGGCGCCAAAATGATGATTCTAGAGTTAGATCACCTTAGAGTGTTGAAGTATGATGAGCTGGAAGAGCATAGTGGATCACTGACTCACGAGCTTGATGACCTTGAGATACCTGCGATCATAGAACACGTGAACTAGGCGGAAACCCCTCCGACGCTCAAGTCAGACGTGCGGATAGTAGAAATAGTCCAGAGAATACCTGTTGAAGTATAGCTCAGATAATTGGACGTACCTTAAGGAATGAGTTCAAATGATTATTTATAGTTTATTGATTGGGCTGAAGTTTAATTAGTTGAGGTTGTCGGGCCAAAACATTATTTGAAGGTGATTGGGCCTCGATAGTAGTGGTCTTCAATATTGGGCTCGTGGCCCAGTAAATAAAGAAATTGTAGGCTTATTGGGTTGGCCCAATTAGGCATATCACAAGGTTTAGTATTTTCCGAGCTCCTTCAATAAATATGTATACATAATACCGAGTTTCTTCTTCTTTTATTTTTATATTTCTGAGGAATATATTCCTTAGAGGAAATTTTAGACAACACTTTCTTAATACAGTTGGATTGTAAAATATATTATTAAATAATATAAAAACTAAAGCAAACACTATTTTGATCATTAGTTTTCAGAGCTTAAATATGATTTATCATTGACGTAATTTATTTAAGTTGTTGTATGTTTTCGCAAAATAGATTTAAAATCAAATGTCCTTTTAAAAATGTACTTCCTCCATTTCAAATTAATCGTCTAATCCATGAATTATTTTTCCCTAAACTAGGTGCTACGTTAGAGTATCAATATTACATCAATTATATTTGTTCCCTTCATATTTAGATTACATGAGACTAATTAATTATTCAATTAGTAAGATGTTTGGTTTATTGAATTAAAACTTGTATTAAAGTTGTTAATTTTTGTTACTATATATGATTTGTCTATAATCATTTTATTCAACAAAAATAATATGTAGTTTGAATGATAAAATTAGGTGTTTGCGCGGGTCATAAACCCGCGGGTTCTAGCAAAATCCACCATCATCCCGTTGACAAACAGTTCTTGATTTTAAGGAACCAAACTTGTGGGTATTCAACGGGCTTAGGATAGGCGAGTCCAATGGTGAGTTTATATAGGACCCAACCTTCACGGGTCCAAACCCTTCAAAATTCAACCATGTTAATTTTTTTTTAATAATTTTTAAGTTTCACGCAAAACTATTTATAAATTAAAATGAATAACCAAGCGTAAAATCTAAATGAAAACCAACGTGAATATTATCAATGATAAATGCCAAGAGTAAATCAAAATTAATATGATTTAACATATATTCATTAAAATAGTAAATAAATTGAAAGATTTATAAGACAAGATTTAAAATAAAAATACATAACTATAGACAAAACGAGACAATATCGTCGCTATAGATATAAGTTTTGACATGTAAGAGATATTTTATTCATGCATGTATTATGTATTATTAATTTATTATACTACCTAATATAATGTCGTTTTGTATGGCGGAGCGAGACGGGTTTCACGGATATTAAAAATATTTGAACCATTCTTAGACCCAAACTCGCGAATCTTCTCAATTTCAGGACTCAATTCTATTGATTGATGTATCCGTCCGGTCCTTGCGGGACGGTTTTTAACGGGTTGATGTGTCCAACCTGCTCACCCCTAGATAAAATAGTCTTTTACTTAGCTTATTTAGTGGTCCCCTATTAAATTAATCTCATAGGGAGAGATGCTACTAATTTAATGAAATAGTCCATTAAAAAACGGACTTTATTTTTTATAGCGGCTTTGAGTATAACTGAATCTCGTCGACCGAACAATTTATTTACACCTACTATTTAATCATTAGAGTCCTATAATGAATTACCGAGTGATTAAATTATATAAAACATTCAATAATGCTACAATGTAATTACTATAAGAAAAAGGGCATATTACAAATAAGCCCATCAGTGGGAACTTATTCATAAAGAGATCCAGACAATATTCTCCTTTACCAATAAGTCCACACATGGTCCAGATTTATGTAAAGGACTAAAATAACCCCTCTTACTTTAATATGCTCCAATTTCATCCTTAACTTACTTTAACTTCAATTTGACCCCAACTTTCACAAATTATTCAATTTTGACCCAAAACTTTTTTTTTTTCACAAATTTTTTTTTTTTCAAAAACTTTTTTTTTCCGCCGGATTCCGGCATTGACCGGCGGTCAACGCCGGTCTCCGGCGTTGACTTTTTATTATTTTTTTTTTTTTTAATTTTTTTTTTTTTTCCTTCCGGATTTTTTTTCCGGATTCCGGCGTTGACCGGCGGTCAACGCCGGTCTCCGGCGTTGACTTTTTAATTTTTTTTTTTTTTTTTTTTTTTTTTCTTCCGGATTTTTTTTCCGGATTCCAGCGGTCAACGCCGGTCTCCGGCGTTGACTTTTTAATTTTTTTTTTTTTTTTTTTTTTTTTTTTCTGTAACTTTTTTTTCCGTTTAAACAGCAATATTGCTGTGAATGACAGTAATATTAACTATATTACTGTTAAACACAGTAAAATTAACTAAACTATAGTTTAACACATTGATATTGCTATATTAATCTCTAGCACATTAATATTAACACAACAAAATTCATTATTATTGTATAATAAAGTAATATTACTATGTTGTCCGTTCAACAAATGTAAACAAAATAAAAAAAACCAAAAGAATTAATATTACTGTGAGTGACAGTAATATTACTATAGCAACAGTAATATTACAATAGTAGACAGTAATATTATTACGTTACTTCGTGAATAACTCGAACAAAACAAACACCCCAAAAAAATAATAATATTGATGTTGTTGACAGTAATATTATTGTGTTTACAGTTATTTTACTGTCAACGACAGTAATATAATTACGTTGACTTGTCAACAAATCAAAAAAAATAAAAAAAAATAATAATAAATAAAAAAATATAATATTGAATTAATTTACTGTCAACGGCAGCACAATTACATAAATGTAATGTCAACGGCAGTACAATTACGTTAATTAACTATCATTGACAGTATAATTACGCTAAATTACTGTCAGTGACAGCACAATTACGGTCAACGTGTAGCGGCGGGCGTGGAAAAACAAAACAAACCAAACAAAAAAAAAAAAACTTAAAAAAACACTAAAGAAAGAGACCGCCGGAAACCGGCGAAAAAATCCGGAAGAAAAGAGAAGAAAAAAAAAAAGAAAAAAGAAAAAAGAAAAAAAAAAAAAAAAAAAGTCAACGCCGGAATTTTCCCCGAAAATTTTTTTTTTTTTTTTCCAAAAATTTTTTTTTTTTTTAAAAAGTCAACGTCGGAGACCGGCGTTGACCGCCGGTCAACGCCGGAATCCGGCGGCAAAAAAAAGTTTTTGAAAAAAAAAAATTTTTTGAAAAAAAAAAAAATGTTTTTGAAAAAAAAAAAATTTTTGGGTCAAAATTTAATAATTTGTGAAATTTGGGGTCAAATTGAGATTAAATTAAGTTAAGGATGAAATTGGAGCATATTAAATTATACTCCAAAAAAAAGTCAAAATTGAATTTTTGTGGTCAAAATTGAACTTTTATGGACAAAATTGATTAATTTGGATTACAATTAAGAATTGGGTATAAATGATTGAGGGTAATATTGGGATATACATGAATGTTTCCTTTAGTTATAATAAATATTAAAGGGATGGGCTTATTGGTGAAAGAGATATGTCCCCTATACCTAGAATAATAAACATGCTTGGTTGGGGACTTTTGCATAAAAATCCCTAAGAAAAAAAATAACGGGAAGGATAATTTAGTACTACATTGTATTTTTTTCTTAAAATCAGTTGGGAGCTATTACAAATAAGCTTATGATGGACAACTTATTCCAATATAGATATATATATATATATATATATATATATATATATATATATAGTTCAAAAGTCTAAACGACTAAAGTACTAGCACCCGGCCAAGTAAAAATCATAATAACAATGGAAAAAAAGAAAGGAATTGAAACATGCTTTCCCTTTTCAAGAACCGCCCAATCACAGTACTCGCTGCCGGAGATTTCTCCGTCTTGCACCAGCCGCCGCGGTTTCTAACGACGTACGAAGAAAGAAAAAATAGAGATGGAATATTTTAAGATTAATGTTGATGATGGGATTTGTGACAACTATTCATCAAAATTGGTGTTGGATAACGAGAGAGGCGAGCTGGTTAGGGCGGCGGTGGTGAAGAGTGGCCGAGCAAAGGTTGGTAACGCGGACAAGGCTTTGGTGGCTCTGAGGAATCATAGTCTGGCTGAGAGGCGGCGGAGGGAAAGAATCAACGCTCATTTGGCCACCCTCAGGACTCTTATTCCTGGAACAGTTAAGGTATAACTGTACTCTACTATCTATTACTGATCTGTGCTGCTGTGCTGCAGTGGTGAATCCAGGATTTGATTTTTTTTAAAAGATCATTTACAAATTATAGGAGAATTTCGGACAAAATCGGTGAAATTGCTAAAGATATTGTAAGTAAATAAATTAAAGTTACGAGTACCAAAGTGTGCATTTAATTAGCAACTTACACTTTCAATCTTTCCCTTGTAATTTAACCCTCAAGATTGCAAGAGAAGTTCTCTACCAGTTGAACTACAAGTTACTCTTGTAAAATTATTACATTTTACCAATTATAACACATATATAATATATTTTTTGATTGGTTTGGAATTTTCGAATTCCGTCAATTTCAATTGGAAAATATCCAAATTTGGAGCTGTATTTTTTAAGGGTTATAAATATAGTTTGCACCACTGTACTATTACTACTGTCACATATACCCCTGTACTCCGAAATACGACAAAACAACCCATGCCTTCCATCTATGTTACAAATGTTGTCCCTATCAATAGCTATTGGAAAATTTCTGACCCAAATACCCCTTCGATTGTGTATAAAAGTGTGCATTATTTTTCACTCATTTGTACTCAATTTCCTCCAAATTTCTTCCTAAGTTTCGTTCCCAGCCCTTTCTTTTAACCAAAATTTCTGAACAAATTTTATATTCTAGAAATTAATTTTAATTTCTTTTTAAATTTCTAAATAAATTACTCAGTTTAAAAATGTCTTCCGGTAGTTCAAATTCTCAAAATTCATATTTTAGGTCCAAACACTACATGTCATATTTTTTTCGAACTATTTTTGTTTTTATGCACGTGTTCGAATTTTTTTTGCCCAAGTTACATTGAATTTCTATCAAATAAGAGTAAGGGTAATATGTAACTACACTGCAAAAACTAACACCGTTAGAGTTGACTGGTGGACTGGTAAGGTGAGGGGCTGTTTTGTCGCATTTCATAGTACAGAGAGTATATGTGACAGTGACGATAGTACAGGATGCAAATTGTATTTAATATTTTTTTTTATTTCCGATTTTCGATTCTTCCTAATTTATTCGGAATGGAATTAGAATGGTAAATAAAATTACCGAAAATTCAGATTCCCAATCGGATTTTAGTTCCGAATATTTCTTTGATTGATAAAATAAAATTGTAGTTCTTTAGTATCCGCCAATTAATAAATAATAAAATATTGGATAGGGGGATCCAATAATAAATCATGCTTTTATTAAATTTCAAAATAATGAAGAGAAATAAGGAAAACAATTTGATAATCCTAGCTAATGGGAATTAATGCAGCAAGTTTAATTTAGGCACGATGATCTTTTTATTTACATTTCACACTAGCAGATGGACAAAGCAGCACTATTGGGTGAAGTTGTGAATCGAGTGAAGGAACTGAGACGAAGCATGGTCGAAGCTACTAATGGTGCACTTGTCCCGACAGAAGTGGACGAAGTCATAGTCGAACAACACAAAGACGAAAACCCAAACAATTGTAAACCATCATCCGTTTCCATCCGGGCATCTCTTTGTTGCGATTTTACTCACGAGCTTCTCTCTGATTTAAGACAAGCTCTCGACGAAACCCTACCATTGAATGCGAATATCACTAGGGCTGAGATAGCTACTATGGGGAGTAGAATGGTGAATGTTTTCTTGATTTCAGGACAAAATGACGCTACAAATAATGCTGAAGATATCGGAGATCAAGAAAGCCAACTTCTTATTACTTCCGTGCGTCAGGCGCTTCTGTCTGTTCTCGATAAATATTACGCATCCGAAGAGTTCTCTTCAGGAAATATAGTGCCCACTAAAAGGAGAAGAGTTTCCCCTTTCGATTCTTCGAGTTCATCTTCTTTGGGAGATATGTGGTGAGAGATAAGACGAAGAATTTGGTTGCATATGCCTTGGCAAAAGGGTTGTGCATGCCTTCCTTTATGTTTGAATATCCATCTAATGTATTTAATTTGTGATTTTGTCATGTAAATAATGAACAATTTCTTTTTCATTTGTGATTTTTAAAGTATTAAACTATGGGATAATTACACTTTTCGTCTCTCATGTTTGGCCCGATTCAACTTTTGCCCGCCCTTGTTCCAAAGTGAACAAATTTCACCTCCAAGGTTCAATGTCACATCGAGTACTTCTTCTTATTATTATTACTATTGGTGCATGAGGTCACGGAAGCTGGGATTGAAGGCCAGATGTATTAGAGAATATTATATTAGAACTCTCCTAATATTAGGATTCTAGTATGATTCGGTTACCTAGATTAGTTAGGATTTAGTTACCTAGTCAAACTCTATTACCTTGCAATATTTCTCTATATATATTCCATGTAATCAACCCATAACACAATGGGGGTTTCTATTCTATTACGTTATTATTTCTCTTCTTTCTCCCTATTCTATTCTTCCTATATGGTATCAGAGCACCAGGTTTAGGTTTTTTAACCTAGCCGCCTTCCTTCTCTATGGCTTTTTAACCTAGCCGCCTTCCTTCTCTATGGCGGTGAAAACCTAGCCGCCTTTCTTCTTCATGGCGGTGACCACCCAATCTTCTTCCTCCCCCAGTGGTGGTACTCTAATTTTATCTTTTTCTTTTCTATCTTCTATGAACACCACCCGAATTTTCTCCCTCCTCGGTGGTGCATCTTCTCTATCTCTTTCTTCTTCTTCTTCTTCCTCTTTTCTTCTCCATGGTCTAAATGTGGCTATCTTCTCTATCTCTTTCTTCTTCTTCTTCCTCTTTTCTTCTCAATGGTCTAAAACCTAGCCGCCACCTCTTCTCTTCTCCATGGACGGCGAATACCACCCAATCTTCTTCTCCCCTCTCTCATCTCTTCTCTCTATCTCGATAAAATTCTCCATGGCCGGCGAATACCACCCAATCTTCTTCTCCCCTCTCTCATCTCTTCTATCTATCTCGATAATAAAAAATAAAATAAATAAATAAATAAAAAAAGTTGCTTATTTTTCTATCACCCATAACATAATGGGGGTTTTCTATTAAAAAAAAGAACAAGAATCTCCATGTTATTTTCTTCTTTCTATTAATTTGGCAGATATTTTCACCAAGGACTCGATTTCCCGGGTTTTCTTTCCAGTCTTCACTGTTGGAGTTTATTCGTTCCGACTGCGGGAGCGTGCTAGCAAGTGCTTGTCTAGTCTTCACGTTCGTCATGTTTCGACTGCGGGGGCGTATTAGAGAATATTATATTATAGAACTCTCCTAGTATTAGGATTCTAGTATGATTCGGTTACCTAGATTAGTTATGATTTAGTTACCTAGTCAAACTCTATTACCTTGCAATATTTCTCTATATATATTCCATGTAATCAACCCATAACAGAATGGGGGTTTCTACTCTATTACGTTATTATTTCTCTTCTTTCTCCCTATTCTACTCTTCCTATAAGATGTTTCCTGGAATGGTTGTGTTCGCGTTTCTAGAGGTTTTCTGACCGACTTCTAATGGTGGCATCCTCCAATTTTTCATCCGGCTTCCATTCCAATCGGCCTGCATGCCTCACTTCAAGGATAAGAGTGGCGGATGGCCGATGATTGTGTTCTCCGGTGTATATTGGGTGTTCCTAGTTGTGTTCTTCGTTTTTTATAGCAAATTATCCATCTACTTTGTCCAATGATTGAGGATCCGTGGACATACATCTTTCAAGATCCGTTGATAATCACCATTGTAATTTTATGGACAAAATCTACCAAGGCTTACCGTTTAATAGTGATTTGACGGTGATATATTATGTCGTACTGCCCTAGCTCGATTTTCCATCGTATTACTCGTCCCAGAGCCTGAGGCTACCCAGTGCCTGACGAAGCGGTAGACTAGTATGTATTATGATTGTGTGAGAAATAATGTATGGTCTCAATCGCCGATCCGTCACCACTAGTGCTACGCAATTTTCTCCAACTCAGAATATCTGGTTCATGATTTGTTCTAAATTAGATAACACAAATTAATAAGTAACAGTTTAATCCTTTGTTCGACGGTTTGAATCGTGGACTCTTCCGTTTTATTTTCAAATAAACGATTTTCATGCTTATTTTTTTGCTTAACAAATAACTTAGGAAAACGAGCTAGTTTCTAGGAAAATACGAGTTTGATAAAAATTACTATTTGCATGACCATGGTTCTGAAATTGCTTGATCACACTTCGGAGTATGCACTTCTTTAGAACCGTCGGTTCAAGGTTCAAAACTACAAGTTCTAGAACATAAATATATTGCTAATTCGCTTGTGAATTGAAGGTTCTCGCCGTTTCATGAACCGTCTTCCTGGCCAATTCAAGATTTGTTCTATAAAAAAAAGGGATAATTAGCTATACTCTCTTATTTCAAACTTATAGGTAGGAGTCCAATCTATTAGGGTGCATTTGGATGGATGGATTTGGGAGAGGGATTTCAAATCCATAATAACAAATCCCTCGGACTTGTTTGGATTGAGGGATTTGGAGATGGATTTCAAATCCCCATCCCTTATTTTTAGTTGATTTTGGAGCAATAGTGATGGATTTCAAATGACTCCAAAATTGGAGTCATTTCAAATCCATTCCCCAAATCAAATCCCTCTCCAAATCCCTCCATCCAAATGGACCCTTAGATTAGTATAGCTACAGGCCATTTGACTAAAAAAAATCAATTAAATGAAATAAAATCAATATGCATATGGACAGAAACACCCTTAAACAATAAATTATTTATTTATGGAAGTCTTTAATTACGTAAATTGTGAGAATAAATCCATATATCACGTCATAAGACTTGGAAGGGAGTTATGAAATTGGTTGGGAAAAAAAAACTCATCCTGGAAGGGAGTTTATGAAACGTGGTTGGTTCATCTTTGACAACACTCTCATTTTGTTTTGCAAAATCTCTCGTTTAAATTTCGAGATTGAAATTTGAATTCAGACTTTTGATTCAATTTGGCAAGCATTAAATTAAATTTTGTGATTTTTTTAGGGTTGACGGTGCAAGATTGAAGGAGAAAATGACCATATAGAATTAGATTGAGCCCGATTCACATATTTTCTCTTTATTTGCTCATCAAGAGAAGATTTTCTTTAGTTTTTTTTTTCTTCGTACAAATCAAAACGAGAACAAAATGGCTCGTTCGTTCTCCGCCGCTATTTTAATTTCTTCTTTCATCGCTAGAGCAGTTCCGTATCTAGAGGCTCAAGGACATCGACTAAATCTGATTATCTTGAGACGAAAATTGTGTTTGTTGTTTGCTATTTTTTTTACACTTTGTTGTTATATATTTATTTTTTGTTGTTAGTATGGTACTATTTGCACTTTGCTTTTAATTCTTGCAGTTTACGTATATAATGTGTTTTTTGCTCGAATATATTTTTACACTTTTAATGCTTTTATTTACTGTTTTAAGTTTTTTTTTTCATACTTGATTGTCACTGTTAATATATGTTCTGTAAATATCAAACTTTAAACATCCATTCATAATACACACATCAAACAGCAAAACATCATTTTATAATGTCCATATCGAACAACAAACATCAAGTGTTTTTTCATTTATTTATGTCGATTTGCACATTTTTCGATGTTGGTGGATTTTTGTTTTGCGTTTTGCTATTTCAAGCAGACTATATTTTACACTATGATGTGATGTAGTGTTAATGGCTATTAACTACGAAGAAGGTCTGGAGAAACATCCACAAGAATTCCAAGAGGTTTTGACGAATTCCAAGAGGTTTTGACAGCAAGAAACATTAAAATTACCTTTACTAAAATAAATGGTCAAAGTCTTTCACGTGAATGCATGTGGAAGTCCTCATTTGTGTCTTATGAGTTTCTTTTATGCTTTTATAATAAGTTGTATTAGATTAGTTTGACGGCAGATTTGGAGTGGAAATAAATAAAAAGCTCAAGGGTTGTTCTTACTTTCCTAAGTATTTTCAGTACTTGGATGCCTTTGTTTCTGCAATTTTATCTTTAAGATTTTTTAGATTCAAATAACGTTGGTTATCTCGGCAAGCCGGATTCATCTTACAACGCTCGCTGCATCAGTTGGTATCAGAGCATGCGCTCGTTTCCTGTAGGATGGCCCGTACTAGAGGACGTGGTCGTGGTCGAGAAGCCAATCTCAACGATGTTTACGAACGTGATGAAATAGCTCGATTAACTCAGCAAGTGGAAGCATTGATGCGTGAAAACGCAGAACTACGAAATCAACACCAACATAATCCATCACCCCAACCATCGGTCGACGACGAATTTTCTGACGTAGAAGGAGAGTACTTTCAAAATCCATTTGGTGAGACAAATCGCCAACGACGAGGTTATTTTAGAGGAGATCGAGAAAACTCTAGTGCACATAGATGAGAATCTGGTATAAGAGTGGATATTCCAGAATTTCATGGCAACCTTCAAGCCGAGGAATTATTGGAGTGGTTTGCTTCTACTGAGGAGATCCTTGATTTCAAGGAAGTTCCAGAAAATAAGAAGGTTGGCTTAGTCGCTACAAAATTTCGTGGAAGGGCTGCATCATGGTGGCAACATAACAAAGCTAATCGTACTAGGCAAGGAAAAGAGAGGATTACATCTTGGGATAAATTGAAAAAGTATATGCGTGCAGCGTTCTTACCGCACAATTACGCAAGTATGTTATTCCAACAATTCCAGAATTTGAGACAAGGGAACAAGTCGGTAGATGATTATACTACAAAATTCTATAAGTTGGCTTTGTTTAATGATCTTTGTGAGTCAGACGAGCAAACGGTGGCACGATATATTGGTGGGTTGCGCCCTCAAATTCAGGAAATTCTCAATTTATTTGATCTCTTTTCTATAGCAGAAGCACATCAAAGAGCGTGTTCCTTGGAAAAACAATTTAATCGGCG